AGAAGAGATGTGAAAAATACCGTGGCATGAGCAAAGCCCACTCAGAACAGATACAGGTCATAGTGGCAGGTGTCAGTAGTACCTGCGTGTTGCAGAAGGTTGGGAGTACATTCCTAGAGGCCATGGAGGCATTTGGGGGCAGGCAATCACTTTTTACCAACTGGTATGAAAGCTTTTCAATTCATTTTAACAATTGGTACAGTGGTGCCAGTACATGCTGGCTACATGCCATCTCTGGCTGTTAATATCGCAGCAGCTAACAGCACCAAGCTCTTACTCCATTGCAGGTGCTGCAAAGCATGCCTCACAGCAGCTCTGAGGTGGGCATTATCATCCCTCTTTTACAGATGGCAAAAAAGACCCAGGGAGGTTAAATGACTTACCCAAGGTCATTCTGCTTACAAGTGACAGTGCTGAGACTAACCTCATGCTGCTTCACGCTGCTTCCCAAGACTATACAGCCACATGATATAACCAAACCAACCACACCAAACTTGCTGCTGTCGAGTCAACTTCTACTCATAGCGACCCTATATGACAGAGTAGAACTGCCCCACAGGGTTTCTAAGGAGTGGCTGGTGGATTCGAACTGCCAACCTTTCGGTTAGCAGCCAAGTTCTTAACCACTACGCCATCAGGGCTCCTATGATATAAAATTAGAGGCAGTGGTTCAAACCCACCCAGCAGCCCTGTGGGAGAAAATCCTGGCAATCTGCTCCTGTAAAGATTACAGTCTAGAAAACCCTATGGGGCAGTTCTACCCTGTCATATGGGGTCACTATAAGTAGAAATCAACTGAAAGGAACTAGCAACAACTGCTTTTATAATGAAAGATAAATCGGTAAGAAAAACTGTATCATAAAGAAAGATTTCATGACAGTAAGGATTCTTAAACACTGAAAAGAGCTACTGATGTCACAATTTTTTTTCCATGTGTTTTTTTTTCTCTCAAAATAGGACAGTTTCTCATTTGTCTGAAATGGTTCAACCATCATTCTGAGTAAACAAAATCACTTCTTATTGCCCTTTCTAGCACTAAGATTCTATAATTCATTGTCAATTCCATATAAAAAAAATAAAAATAAAAAAATTATCAGTCTAAAAATTATAGAGAAGCCAAGGCACTTATCTTCATTCATCCATCCATCCATTCAATCAATAGTTATTGCCTGCCTGCCATGTGTCAGTCATTTGGCTAGATGCTAGAGATACCCAAGTTACCTAGACAGGAACCTTGCCTTCATGGAGCTTCCATACAGATGGCAATCTTTTTTTGGCCTAAAGGGATATGTTATCTATTTTTGCACCAACATCGTGGGGTTGAAGGGGCAGAGTGCTGGCACCAGGCCTCAGGAGCAGCAGTCAAGGATCACACTGGCGGGGGAGGGGAGATTGGGCTGGTTCGTCTCAGAGCTTCAACATGGCTCCACTCCCACCTAAGCCAAGACCAACAATCAAATAAAGCTGGGAAAGTGCCATGACGCCTGGGGGATCTCCTGGCTCTGAGGAAGTTTCTATATCATCTACTTGGCTGTTATATTTAAGTCTCTTGGGGAAAAATGGGATACACAAAAATGGCTGAAAAGACAACCAACCATTTCTGGGAGTTAACTGGCCTTGAGTCATAGTTAAGAAAAGGAATCTACTATCTAACCAAGCAGTACCTTCGAGAAGACAACTCTAAAGCTTCATGAATGTCACATTACAGGCTGTGGTTTCAGAACTTATGTTACCACCATCATTACCATTGTGAATACTACAAGGTACTTTGGCAGGTCTAACCTGAGAACCTCCTCCTGATGGAGAAACAATCTGTTTGGGGCTCAAAATGTTAGACAAATACTATTCTCTTGGAAAGTACAGTGAGGACTTTCATTTCAGGGATATAAAAAAAATTCTGTGCTCATAATGAATAGAAAGCAGGTTAAATTCATACTACCTTCCTGCAAATAATTTTTTTTTTTAAATTGTGCTTTAGATGAAAGTTTACAGAGCTAATCAGTTTCTCATTAAACAATTAATACACATTGTTTTGTGACACTGGTTGCCAACCCGTGACATGTCAACACTCTCCCCTTCTTGACCTTGGGCTCCCCATTTCCATTCATCCAGCTTTCCTGTCCCGTCCTGCCTTCTTGTTTTTGCCCCTGGGCCGGTGTGCCCATTTAGTCTCATATACATGGCTGAGCTATTTGTATTATTGCTTGTTTATGGGCCTGTCTAATCTTTGGCTGAAGGGTGAACCTCAGGAGTGACTTCAGTACTGAGTTAGGGGTGTCCAGAGGCCATACTCTGGGGTTTCTCCAATCTCTGCCAGACAAGTAAGTCCGGTCTGTCTTTTTGAGTCTGAATTTTCTTCTACATTTTTCTCCAGCTCTGTCCAAGACCCTCTATTGTGATCCCTGTCAGAGCAGTCAGTGGTGGCAGTCAACCACCACCTAGTTACACTAGACTCAGTCTGGTGGAGGCTGTGGTAGTTGTGGCCCATTAGTCCTTTGGACTAATCTTTCCCTTGTATCTTTGGTTTTCTTCATTCTCCCTTGCTCCAAATGGGGTGGGACCAGTGGAGTATCTTAGATGGCCGCTCACAAGCTGTTAAGACCCCAGATGCTACTCACCAAAGTAGGATATACAACATTTTCTTTATAAACTATGTTACTCCAATTGAGCTAGATGTCTCCCAAGACCGCGGTTGCAAGCCCTCAGTTTGGATGTGTCTATGAAGCCTCTATGACTTTGCCTTGGTCAAGTCGTGCTGACTTCCCCAGTATTGTGTACTGTCTCACCCTTCACCAAAGCTACCACTTATCTATTGTCTATTTAGTGTTTTCCTTCCCTACCCCTCCCCTCCCTCATAACCATCAAAGATTGTTTCTTTCTGTGTATAAACCTTTTCAAGAGTTTTTACAATAGTGATCTCATACAGTATTTGTCCTTTTGTGATTGACTTATTTCACTCAGCATAATGCCCTCCAGATTCATCCATGTTGTGAGATATTTCACAAATTCATCAGTTTTTTTTGCATAGTATTTCACTGTGTGTATGTATCATAGTTTGCTTATCCATTCATCTGTTGATTGGCACTTAAGTTGTTTCCATCTTTTTGGTATGGTGAACAATGCTGCAATGAACATGGGTGTGCATATGTCTGTTCATGTGAGGGCTCTTATTTCTCTAGGATACATTCCTAGGACTGGGATTGCTGAATCATATGGTATTTCTATTTCTAGCTTTCTAAGGAAGCACCATATCGTTTTCCAGAATGGTTGTTGCGTTTTGCATTCCTATCAGCAGCGCATAAGAGTTCCAATCTCCCCACAGCCTCTCCAACCTTTGTTATCTTCTATTTTTTTGAGTTGTGCCAGTAATGTCAGGGTGAGATGGTATCTCTCATTGTAGTTTTGATTTGCATTTCCCTAATGGCTAGTGATCGGGACCATTTCCTCACATGTCTGTTAGCCGCTTGAATGTCTTCTTTGGCGAAATGTCTGTTCATTTCCTTTGCCCATTGTTAAATTGCATTATTTGTCTTTTTGTGGTAGAGGTGTTGGATTTTCCTGTAGATTTTAGAAATTAGACCTTTGTCTGATTTGTAATAGCTAAAATTTTTTTCCAAGTCTGTAGGTTCTCTTTTTATTCTTTTGGTGAAGTCTTCTGATGAGCGTAAGTGTTTAGTTTTCAGAAGATCCCAGTTATCTAGCTTATCTTCTGGTGTTTGTGTACTGTTAGTTATGGTTTGTATACTATTATGCCGTGTGTTAGGGCCTCTAGTGTTGGTTCTTCTATGATATTTATAGTTTTTGGTTTTATATTTAGGTCTTTGATCCATTTTAAATTAGTTTTTGTGTATCGTATGAAGTATGGGTCCTGTTTCATTTTTTTGCAGATGGATATCCAGTTTTGCCAGCACCATTTGATAAAAAGACTGTCTTTTCCCCATTTAATGGACTTTGGGGCCTTTGTCGAAGATCAGGTGACCACAGGTGGATGGATTTACATCTGGGTTCTCAATTCTGTTCCACTGGTGAATGTGTCTGTTGTACCAGTACCAGGCTGTTTTGACTACCATAGCTGTATAGTAGGTTCTGAGGTCAGATAGTGTGAGGCCTCCTACTTTTTTCTTCTCCTTCAACAATGCTTTACTTATCCGGGGCCTCTTTCCTTTCCACATAAAGTTAATGATTAGTTTTTCCATCTCGTTAAAGAATGCTGTTGGTATCTGGATCAGGATTGCATTATATTTGTAGATTGCTTTGGGTAGAATTGACATTTTTGCAATGTTTAGTCTACCTATCCATGAGCATAGTATGTTCTTCCATTTACGTAGGTCTCTTTTGGTTTCTTGCAGTAGTGTTTTGTAGTTTTCTTTGTATAGGTCTTTTACGCCCCTGGTTAGACTTATTACTAAGTATTTTATTTTTTTAGAGGCTATTAGAAATGGTATTGCTTTCCTGATTTCCTATTTGTAGTTCTCTTTATTGGTGTATAGGAATCCAACTGATTTTTGTATGTTTCTCTTGTATCCTGCAACTCTGGTGAATCTTTCTATTCGTCCCAGTAGTTTTCTTGTGGAGTCTTTTGGGTTCTCTATGTATAGTATCACATCAACAAATAGGGATAGTTTTACTTCTTCATTACCAATTTGGATGTGCTTTATTTCTTTTTCTCTGTAAATAATATTTAAATTAACATAAATACATGTCCCTATAGATAGACTCTTCCTTCATCTTCTTTTATTGTTCTGCTCCTCAGTCAGGTCAATCTAATCTCCTTGGAACTAGTACCCTAAATCCCTTGGAAGGTTACCTTCTCATGCTTCTTTAGGTTGCTAAATAGACATTCAAAAGTGTGCTGACTGTGACAGTCTGGTGAAAATTTACGTTCAGCCAGTAGATCTTTTAAATCAACTGTTAGACTCCATCATGTCTAGAAAAGTGGGAAGCTACATTCACAATGTGTTACGTGGTCAAAGGCCCCTGCCATGTGTTGAGCATCTCACCTTCGATACAGCTTGGACTGTCCAAAAGTCATAATTACCAGTGGTACATGGAAGGTAGTCAAGACGAGAATCACCTGGGGAGAGACAAAAGAATGTAGTTAGTAGAAAGGTAGTCCAATCACATGCTGGGATGTGATGGGATTAAATAAACATCTAAAAGACTGTTGATAGCCTTGCCTTGTAGTAGCCTCTATTTTAATATGTCCAAAACCCAAGAAGGACTAAGTTAACAGGACTTACAAGATGCTCTCAACACATTTTGTTAACATCCCCATTGCCTGCACTCGAAGCAGTGAGACAAAACTAGCCATCTACACACAGCAATAAAGGACGAATTTGACTACTCTGTAGCCATATTATTTTAAGATATTCTCAGGCAAAATCCATCTTTCTTTTCTGCTTACAGAGGCTAGACTGGTGTTGAGTGCTCAGAGGTTGTATAGCCACTCGATGCGTCACTTATGTCTTTTTCTCCCTGTTAGCTCTCCATGAAATTCATTTTTTTAAATAACTCTTTTTCTAGAAGAAAATATGCATGAGGAAAACATTCTGGATACCCATATAACAAGAAATCTTGGAGATACCAACTGTCTTAGATAAATAGGTAAAACATGGAAATTAGGGTACAAGCCAAATTTTAGAAGAAACTGAGTCTCAGAGAAATTCTACCAGAAGTTTAAAAATTAATTAAAATAGAAATTCACAACTTGCTCTTCATCACCAAAATTATATTTCTTTAGGCTCCTGACATAGCTGTCATATGCCTCAATGCTAGAACACATGCATTCCTGGAACACAAGGAGGCATGAGATGTGGTCCCAGTCCTTGTTCAGGCAGGATAACAATGGAGCCAGGGAACACCAAGCCCTGTTTAACACCTGAGGCCAATGCATACTCAGTGCACCCTCCAAATGGGAGACTGGCTATAGGCCAGGAGGGATAAGGAGCTCACCGACTCTCCTCCCACTCACCCAATGCTGGCTGTGCTGACAACTGATGGAGCTGAACAACTATGAGTCCATGGGAGCCACAGCCCTTCCACACTAACTGAGGGGAAGGACACAGGAACAATACAGTTTGGAGGAAAAACGCCAAGGCCTGTAATGCGCACTTTTCCACTTCTACGCAGGGGTTTTCCCAAGTATTGTGAGGCTCCTTTCTTAGCACACAGTATTCTCTTTCCTCTTCCTTCTTCTTGCTCATCTTGATGCCAAGTAGCCACCAAGGACTAAAAAGCTGTCTATCTTCCTATCATAAAATAAAGTGGTTTCAAGATGTCCCCAGTTCTAACGCAAAAACAAACCAACTAGTTTCCTAAAAATCTGTCCTGCAAATACGCATTTTCTGCAATTTATGTTGGAGACCATTTCAGAAAGTAACAACATTCATTGCTTAAATCCCCAAAATCTACATCTTCTACTTGCCAAACTAAATTAAAAGACTCAAAATGTTACTTACCCCAGTGCTATCTCCAACCCAAGACAAGGACACAGAGCCACTGAGATCATCAAACACATGCTACAAGGGAGAAAAAAAAAAAAAAGAAATTCACTTAACAATGACTTCTACTCTCCTTTAATCTTTGACTTCCTTAAATAATGCAGAACTTTATTATGTTCAGAGTAATTAAGTTCATAATTAGAAGGGAACATATATTCCTAGAACAAAATTTGGACGAGACAGGATTTAACCACTTAACCTGAATTACAAATAACTTGGAAATTTTAATTTTCTCTCACACAAAGTAAGCCAAGCAGCCGACTTTTCTTCACTGCACCAGATGGGGAAATGGGAATAATCTAATTGTTTTTCTCTAACAGAACTAAATATAAAGATACAGCAAAGTATTCTTAGAATGATTTAAAACAAGAGATCATAGCCCACACTGACACACATAACTGTAACCCAATTAACATAATTTAAATTTTTCTAGGCAGCCTCCACAGTATAGCGGAATAGTTATTAGCTGGATTCCTTTTGCTTCTAGGCTAACTCACTCAAAATGACAGAGGCATTGTTTCATCTTTTAATTTAATAATAAGAATAACAGCAACAATAATAGAGTTGTGGAGGGAGTGGGGAGACAAGAAAGAGAAAGCTGGTATGCTGTACCTAAAATATGGTTTGTTGTTGCTATTGGTTGCCATCAAGTTGATTCCAACTCATGGTGACCCCATGTGTGCGGAGTAGAGCTGCTCCATAGAGTTTTCAAGGCCATGACCTTTTGGAAGCAGATCATCAGGTCTGTGTTCCAAGGCACCTCTGGGTGGGTTTGAACCACCAACCTTTGAGTTAGTAGTCGAGTGCTTAATATGGTGAGCGTGTTGAAATATAGTTATAATTGTCATTGTAGATGCTTCTGAGGTTTTGCTTTTCAAATACTTTCTTTTTCTATTTATAAAATAATGTGTACTCACTATATAAAATGTCTCTGTGTGATGACGGTTAAGTGCTCAACTACTAGCCCAAAGGTTGGCGGTTCAAACCCACCCAGAGACACCTTGGAAGACAGCCCTGGTGATCTGCCTCTGAAAGGTCACAGCTTTGAAGACTATATGAAGCTTGAGAACGTTACGTGAGCAAAATAAGTCAGACACAAAAGGGCAATAGTGTATGATATCACTTATATGAAATAAGCAAATACATAGAAACCAAAAGAAATTAGTGGTTACTACGGGCAGGAGGGAGGGTAAAAGACAGTGGTTTTGCTTGGAGTACGCTGTAGGTATATTATGGGTGGTGGGACAGTTCGGAAAGAGAGAGTGATAATCGGGATGCAATTTGAAGAATGTAATCAATGTTGCTGAAGTGTACATGTAGACATTGATGAAATGTATGTGTTGTTGTATATATTATAATAAAAAAAATTTTTAAAAATATGAAGCAGTTCTATTCTGCAAACGTGGGGTTGCTGTAAGTTGCAACTTTCTTGATGGCAACTAATAACAATAGAAACTATAGAGAATTATAGTAAGAAAAAAAAAGAAAATGTAAATCACTCAGAATCCTACATGCAGAGGCATTCACAGTTATCATTATATGTCTAATGTTCTGTTTTTTTTAACTAAAAAAAAAAATAAAAATTTGAAAAAAGCAATACATGCACTCTGTAAAAATTTCCAACCATACAGAAGTAAATATAGCAAAAAGTAAAGATCCTTCCCCTTCCCCTGCCCATGCCCCTCCAACCAAAGCCTACTCCCCAGAGGAGTTAATAGTTTAGTATATACTTCTACTGAATGTTGATGATTAAGTTTTTTTAAAGACTTAAATCTTATTTTTAAACTGAATATGCCCTGCCTTCTCAAATATGAGACTTTCTTAGAAGTAGAGGATGTAACTTTGTATTTCTTGGTACTTCCTGTGCTTACCACAATACTTTGCACACTCAATAAGCATTTGTTGAAAACAATTACATATCCTTCCCAAACCACAAACTCAATCTCAAAATAGAACATGTCTATAAATGGTGGGATGCCAGCCACTTGGTCACTCAAGCCATAAATCCCAACAGAGAAGTCTGAAGAAACAACTCGAAACATGAACTGTTCCGCTTATCTTCTAATGTCTTCTTGTGGTCCTTCTGAATGGGCTTCTGAATTCACCATGCTATTTATTTCCCTTCTAGACTGTAAGTACCTTTGAGGTCAGAAGAATGCCTTATGCAATCTTTGTACTAATACAATCAGTGCCTCACACAGGGTTTTCTCAGAAATGCTGGTTAATTCTCAAAGGCTCAGGCAGAGCTTCTCATAGCCTCAGCAGGACAGAAAGGCTATTCATACATGTAGGCTCGCCAAGCATCTGAGAAAAAGTAGGGCTGCTAGAGACATCTGGAACCAGAAGCTTAAAAACACACAGCAGTGTGACTTGTGAGATATTCCACAAGGAGCAAGACTGAATGTTCTCTTGAGCAAGTATACAGTGTCTGAAGTTATATCAATGAGTTCCTTGAGGAAAAGGAGGAATACCCAGACCTACCACAAGTACCAGACAGACCACATGGGCTAGCAGTCTTCTAAACACAGGCTATTTCCAAGGAAGGTTCTGATCACAACAACTAACTAGGATAAAAAAAAATTCCACTAACTACGGCAATGTAGTTCATCGCTGTCTTGATCAAGCCATAATATGGTCAGTCTTGAGCCAATCAGGATCTGAAACTTTCACTTTTCAGGCAATGCTCTACACACCTAACCCAGTCAACGTAAGTGGTCATTACTCACACTTTCCTATTTATTGCTTCATCACAGAAGGAGGAGGATTATCAGATGTTACCAGCAACCCTCAGCGTCACCTAAATAACTCAAATGATAATTGTCCTCCTTCATCATCCAGACTTCCTTTGGAAACATGGGTCAGATTTTTAAACTATATTTGAGGTCTTCTGCTACCTTTAACCCTCCCCCCACCGTAACCAATAAATTTTACTTTTGAAAATGTACAGCCATCATTGAGAAAACTCATCCCACTTAATTTCCCCATGACAGAAACGAGTGTGAAATGTAAAAGTTCTGTCCTAAGAGGACTTCCACTTCTGGTCAAGATGAAGTAACATGTATCAAATCTACCTTCATGCTTGAAACAATAAAAAACACACAGAATATATGAAACAACAGTTTCATCCATCTACAGCAAATGTAACTAATTTTTTTATATTTAAGTCTCTAACATTCTTGTACTGGTGAAAGTAAAAGAGAAGAATGAAATCAGAGTCTAACTGCAGATCAATGCTCAGGTAGAAAGAAAAGGTCACGTGGAAGGAAATAAATCCAGAAGAGTCAGGGGACTAACAGTACACATTCAACCCTACCCTTCTAATGAGAGAAAAAACATGGATATCTGGAAAAGGGTGGACAGCCTGGTCATGGTTAGGGGACAGAGTTCACAAGTGTCAGCAAAAGGCCATCAATTTTAATACCTGAACAATTGACCAGATTTAATAGAAAATACATGTGACTCTACACTGTAGTAGCATCTCAGATCTTTCAAAATATGTATTATCTTTAATTATAGCAACAATAACCTTGTCTGTCTCCCTCACTAGACCTGATGTCCATCTGGTACAGGGACCAAGCCCATTCATTTTAGCAAGTAATACATAGCACAGCACTTAGTAGGCACTCATAATAAATAGTGAATTAATTTTCTATAAGAACGACTTGTGAAGCACTGAAAAGGAGGATGCTGAAGTGAAAAGATAACGTCAGACCCACTTAATTTCCCCATGACAGAAACGAATGTGCAATGTAAAAGTTCTGTTCTAAGAGGACTTCCATTTCTGGTCAAGATGGAGTAACATGTATCAAATTTACCTTCATGCTTGAAACAATAAAAAACACACAGAATATATGAAACAACAGTTTTCAAGACATTAGACATCAGGCAACAAAGGGCAATGATCCCGGAGAGACAGGAAACAAACAAGGAGGGCCCTGTAATTGCCCCAGCTTACTGCCTGGAGAGAATTTCCAGGCCACAGTGCAGGAAAGGGGAACTTAGGTAGAGTCCCGAGGTCTCCCCAAGTTAAGAGACAAAACTTAGTCTGGTGAGGTCAAAGAGGCTGGAATTCACAGAGTAGTGTAGCAAAGAGGAGACAGCTGCACAGAACGAAAACTAGCGATCTGTGGAGGGGAGGCCCCCACTACCCTGTCAAGTCTTTCACCTGCACACTGATTGGGACATGCATGTGAGGCAACTACTTGAGGCCACAGAAAGAACCACGCAAAAGGACCGGATTTGAACAATATCTGGAGCTCAAACAGGACCAGGAATAGTTCCTGTTCCCACCAGGCAGAGTAGAAAAAAATCTTATTTCATGGGAAACCATATAGAACACTCAGAAAAGTTTTGCCTCAGTAGTGGAGAAAAACTAACCCTAGACTAAATGCTGTTCTGGTTATGCCTAAAAAAGCTTAAAAGCAAGACCAAACAGCAGCAACCTGTTTCCAAGTAACCTATGTCCCAGAACAAAGTTCAAGAATATTTATAGGAATACAAAAATATCCAGCACCAAACAAGATAAAATTCACGTAACATTTAATCAAAAATCACCAGGCAAACCCCCGAGACTATGGCCCTATGACACCCTTCTGAATTGGAACTGAAGCCATTCCCAGAGAACACCTTTCAGCCAAACCATAGACAGGCCCATAAAATAAACAGTAACACCCGAGAAGAATGTGCTCCTTAGAACAATCAACTGTACAAGATCTAAAGGGCAACATTTGCCCAAAAGCAAAGAAGAGAAGGCAGGAAGGGGTAGATAATCAGGACAAACAGAAACAGGGAACCCAGGGCAGAAATGGGGAGAGTGCTGACACATTGTGGGGAATGCAACCAATGTCATGGAACATTTTATGTACAAACTATCAAATGGGAAACTAATTTGCTCTGTAAACTTTCACCTAATGCCAGAGGAAAAAAAAAAAAATCACCAGGCAGCAAAGAAGCAAGAAAGCAGGACCCATAACATGGAGAAAAAAATCAATCAAACTGACCCAGAAATAACAAAAATA